ACGAGGCATTTTCTTTGACACACTCGAACAGATCAAATAATAATATACCTTAACGTTTCCTCCTCGTTCTTCCTTCTACTTTTTCCCGTTTCACCTGCTGCTACGGCGAATAACCGAAGAAAAATAATCAATCATCCACTCGACGTTTCGCAATTTTCACCTTTCGATCATTCTTACCTTCGCCTCTTAGGTCATCTCGTTTCTTGCTCGAAGTGAAACAAACTCCGTCGAAAGAATTAATGTTCTTCCCAAAGCACTGTAGTTAGCGATCAACAAATAGGTTATTAATATTTTGTCGAAATTAGATAAATCAACCTATAGAAATATGTTGCCGGAACTAGAACGTCGATTGGGTGAAAAATATATCAATGTACTTTGGTCGAGTTTGGATTAGCGTTGAACTGTTTTTGGATTATACGGATTAAGTTTTAGGGCGATTTGATCGATATAACGATGGCGTTCAATAGCGTCGATAATCTGTTGCGTGCGAGTAATCTTGATAAAAGTTGAAAATAATAATCTTGTAGAACAGCTGAAAAATATCGCGGAGAGATTAACTGAAGGATGATAGACGGACTCAATATTTAAAAAGGGTAGAAAAAAAGGAGGGAAGTGTACCTATATAAATTATTACGCTTTTGTGCTAGACTCGCTTGATTCGTCAACATTTTCCACTAATTTATCTCGATCTGTCGTGTCGACGAAAAGAAAGGGACCAGAGAAAGGAAAGAGAAAGGAGAAATTGAAACGGTGGAAGCAATTTAGATATTACTTACGTCGAGAGTGGTCCTTTGCTATCTGAAGAAAACCGACGAAGAAGTACGAGAAAAGGGTAACAGTGGATGAAAAAAAATAAGACGTGAAAGATGGTGCTCGTCTGCAAAAAGGAAGAAAATAGAAGGGATGGAGCGGACAGGAAAAGAAGGGGGGCGAGCCAGAAAGCCGCATAAATGAGCCGCCTGTGAAAACAGAAGGTATTCCGACCAAAGTAAAACGACATCGGACGGAAAAAAAAGGAGTGCATCGTATCGTTTCACTGTCTGGATCGTCTATCGTCTCTAAACGTCTGCAATTTCAGCACTTTCGGAATTTAGCGGATCTTGTCGAACGATGATTTATGCGGTGAAGGCTGGAGATGTCCGATACAGTTTTAAATTTCCCGCCTAATAGAATCGTACCGTGCACTATAGAATTCTCTCAGTAGCCGGCGATAACGACATCGGAGGGAAAAAAACGAACACGTCGTATCGTTTTACTGTCTGAATGTTCTATCATCCCTGGACGTCTGCAATTTCAGCACTATCGGAATTTAGCGGATCTTGTCGAACGATGATTTATGCGGTGAAGGCTGGAGATGCCCGATACAGGTTTAAATTTCCCGCCTAATAGACGGAACAGAATCGTGCGTTACAGAATTTCCTCGGTAACGCGCTGGTAATTTATGATTGTTCCAAACAAATTTGTTGAGGCGAAATTTTTTTATTGGAGAAAGAACGTTCTCTTGCGGCGAGGCGCAAGTTTTTATTAACCTTACATAAAGTTTTTGACATCGCGAATTGATTTTTATGAAATATCAATTACTCGACGCGGTAATACGTTCGATATTACGTACACGGTTCGATGCTCGGTGCTTTCGCTTTAAGACGAAGTGTTATTGGAATTATTGTTCGAAAATTTTATGATTGGAGAGCTTCGAGACGTATATCGAAAATGTGTTTGATACACGCGTCATACGTCCCCTGAGCAATCTAATCCTGCGTAATAAAAAATAGATATACTTTCGCAAACAAATTATCGCGAGAATTCATATATCTTAACAGCAATTCATTATTTTTCGCGAATACCGGACTCGGTGTCAAACGTGTTTTAAATGATGCTACACGGGATGTGCTAGCGTAAATAAAAGAAGAAATGTATAATAGTGAGATGCGCATGAAATAAACTGTTTCGTTTTTACGTTTCATGTTTTTCATTTCTACGTATTAATCTTCCCATAGCGGAGGCTACAGATATTTTACATGTTTTGTAAAATAACATTTTTTAACGCGGAGCGCGTTTATTCTGAAAAAAATTCCGTGTTTTTCTTCGACGGTATTATACTGAATCTAAATATACATAGAGATCGATAAAATATTATTTAGTTTTGATTGTGCGATTCTTTTCGTTTAAAATGTAACAGCCCTACAGGCCGTAAACTACGTTGTACATCGCTCAACGCCGTATCATATATTTTTTCATTTTTATTGTGCTATGTTTTCGAAAATTTTATCATTGTAGTTTAGCTAGTTTATAAGATTGTTTTTTTAAGAGGGATTCGGGCAATTTTATACCTTGTACAGGGTTGAAAATTTGTAATTTAATAAATTGGAAAGTTGGACAATTGAGAAACTGAGGAATTAAAGAATTGAAGAATCGATGAATTGATGAATTGATGAATCGAAGAATTGGAGAATGTAAGAATTGAAAAAATGAGGAATTGATGAAGTGATGAAGTGATGAATTGATGAATTGATGAATTGAAGAATTAAAGAATTGAAGAATTAAAGAATTAAAGAATTAAAGAATTAAAGAATTGAAGAATTGAAAAATTTGAGAACTGAAGAATTTGAGAGTTGAAGAATTTGAGAGTTGAAGAATTCGAGAATTGAAGAATGGGAGAATTGAAGAATTGAAAAATTGAAGAATTGAAAAATAGAAAAATTGAAGAATTGAAAAATTGAAGAATTGAAAAATTGAAAAATTGAAAAACTGAAAAATTGAAGAATTGAAGAATCGAAGAATTGAACAATTGAATGATTGAACAATTTCTACATTTTCTCTCCAAAAATTGAACTACTGAGGAATTGAAAAATTGCGAAATCGTAAATAGGTCATCACCCACAATAAAGCTATATGCATCGAATACAATTGCACGAAATATTTGCCTCCTATAACTCCTCCAATTCGAAATAAATTAAAAGCAACTTGATGCTCCGAATATCGACCGCCTACCTCGTGAATTTCACATAAATCAGAAGAGAAGGCGCCTGGTTACCGTTTCTTGTAAGCAATTTGAATATTACGACGCTCCCTCGCGTTCAATTGCCAAAGGAAAGATTGAAAGACAACACATGAACGTTGTTCTCGGGGAGCTGTTCAGAAAAGAAATGGTAGGAACGTGAATGCGCAAGAGGATATAGCGACACATAGAAATGAAGATACCGCGTGGAGAACGGAAAAATCTCGGCTCGAAACGTACGAGACAAGAGTAATGTCGTGCTGTCCCGTTAACGCTCGTGAAATATTTGCTCTCGTTGCGAAAAGACAGGAATCTGTCGATGCAGCGATTTACTGGGCTTTAATAAACTAATGTTCCTACTGCCTCTTCTTTTTGCACTTCTTTTTTTTTAACGTTTCACTTTTAGTTCCTCGCTCAACTTACCGTGCGAGTACGAAAATATTGGCTCATCCCTTATGTTACTGTCACGTTCGTGTTCCTCTCGGTATATTACCATAAACCGCGCGAAACGGGTAGGTTAGGTTAGCAAGGTTTTGATGTATCAAGGTCTGATGACAGTGTCTCAGAGATCTCAACTGAAACCTTGTAGAATTTGAAAAAAAATAATTTAGACTTAGTTGCAATATTTAGCAAAAAATGGCGGACTTTATATATGGAAGGTTATGCTATTCTAAATTATTTTGTCACTTGATCGAAGTATTTTGTCATTGAAGCGAATAATGTTGAAAATTTTTCATTTGTCGATATAGTGCTTACAACATCTTATTTTATATTAAAAATACTGATAGATTATTTGTATAGTAATTTCTATGGTAATTAAATACAAAAGGATATTTACACAGAAATCTCACTGATGACCTTGACGAAGGGTAATCTAACCTAACCAGTATGAAGTAACTTAATACTTAAGAGCAATTCTTAATACTTAACTTCTTGCAGTTTTTATTTAAGTTCTAATTTGCAAAATATTTTAATTAGGTTTACGTTTTGATTGGTATTTGTTGTTGCTATATATACGCCATAATATCGGTTTGTTTTTTTAAAAGCATGTCCCTAGTATAATACAAGCAAGTACGCTATATCTCAATGTGACATTTCCTATTATCATATATCCAGTAGAGCATAGGTGACAAGGCCAGGTGAGAAGGGTACGCTGAAATATAGTATACTTGAATGTATTATGCTAGGGATATTAGAAAAACAAAGTGAGGGTATAGTGGATCTACCTTAGTAAAATATGCTATTATCTACTATTGCGTATTGTAAATTTTACCTAAGCTGTTTGCGTAGATTTTGAGAATTAAGATCTGTTAAACTGAGATGAGATAATCATACACGTAAGCAAAATTATTTAAAATATTGACTTCGATAAAGTATTTCAACATCGTCGAGATCGATGATGATTGTATTTTTTTGTAATTAACTGACAGTTAATTATGTTTAATAATTAACTGCTCTTTAATAATTAATTAAGATTTAACTGAATTAAAATTTTTATCATCAGTTATATTCCATGAAATACATTTGAAGGTTATTGGCACATTTTGTAAAAATATTCGTTTTTTATTTGAACCTTTTATATAAAATTGCTACATACATGAATGATCGGTACTTGCACCGCAATAAAAAATTGGATGCTTCAATAAAACAAACGATGGTTCGACAAATGAAAAATTTTTAATTAAATATGAACTTCGCTTGAATAATAATTGGTAAAATAAAATAATTTAATTAAAAATTTGTTCGTTGAAGTTGTATACAGGTTTTTTATAACAGGAAATATTGTCCTACCAATATTCTGTATGTAGCATTATTATAAAAAGAATTGAAGATAAAAAATGAGAATGGAAATATTCTTACGCGAAAACTGTATAAGATTAAAGCAGTAAATACAATATTCATCGAGAGACTAGACAGAATCTGTTGTACTTTTATTCGTGAAATAAAACAGCAGGCGAGAAAGAAGATTAAACATTTTTCTTCTGGTTTCTGTTTGTTTCAGATACAAACACTGCCAGTGGTCCGGTATTGGTAGCGCCAGTTGGAAACCAAACGGCTGCGATTGGTCGTGAAGTTGTTTTTTCTTGCAGCGTTCGTAACATAGGAAAATATAAGGTAATTACGATAGAAAATGGAACGATAATATTGAACGTACGCTGCGGTAATATATGTACGACAGATGCATCGTTGCTGTCAACATACGCTCTAATATAATCGACAAACTTTTCGAACTTATAAATTTTTGCATTTTATAACTTTTCTGCGGTGTATGTTTTACTATGGGTGTACAAATGTTGAATATCTGGAATTAACTTTTAATTTCTTTATTTGTATAGGTTTCGATTTCTTAATTTTCCTGTTTTTTAATTTTCTAGTTTTCTAGTTTTTTGGTTTTCTAGTTTACTAGGTTTCTAATTTTTTAATTTTTTAGTTTTCTAATTTCCTAAGTTTTCATCATTTAAACTTTAAAATTTTCTAATTTTTCAATTTTCAAATTTTCATTTATTCTAATTTTTCAATTTTTCCATTTCCCCATTTTCCAATTTTCCAGTTTTCCAATTTTCTTATATTCTTATTGACTATTATTTTAATTTTCCAATTTTTCAGTTTACCAGATTTCCACTTTTCCAATTTCCCAATTTTCCCGTTTTCCAATTTTCCGACCAATTTTCTACTGTTCTAATTTAGCAATTTTCTAATTTTTTAATTTACTAAAATTCGAATTTTCCAACTTATCAATTTACAATCTACAGATTGATAAATTTTTAGATCTTCAAATCTTCTGATAAGATAAATCTATAAATCTTCAGATCGTCTATAAATCTTCAGATTGATCGATTCTTCAACTTTTTAATTCTTAATCTTTCAATTTTCCCATTGCCCCATTCTTTAACATCCAAATTGTCAAATTTGTAAATGAAATTAGCAATCTCTATCAAATTTTCAAATTAAGAAATCAAATTTTGAATCTCCATCAAAGTTTTGAATGTAAGAATCAAATCTTCAATCTTCAATAAATTTTCAATTGTATAAATCAAGTCTATAATTATTATCAAATTTTCAAACTAGAAAATCTTCAATCTCTTTAAAATTTTCAAATTCATTATGAATCAAACATTCAATGCTCCTCAAATTTCCAAACATATAAATCTCCAAACTCTCCAATTCGTCAACAAACAAATTTTTTAATTCATGAATTAAATTTTCAACATATAAATCTTCAAACTCTCCAATTCATCAACAAACAAATTTTTTAATTCATGAATCAAATTTTCAACATATAAATCTTCAAACTCTCCAATTCATCAACGCACAAACTTTCAAAATAAATCAAATTTTCAAACGCATAAATCTTCAAACTCTCCAATTTATCAACAAACAAATCTTCAAATTTATAAATCAAATTTTCAAACACGTAAATCGTCAAACTTTAACACAAAGATAGTGAAATTTTCGATCAATAAATTTTCAAATTTCCTCCCATAGAAATCTGCACACCATCCGTCACCCGAATCCTTAAATTATCAATCGGACAGGTCGAATCCTCGACCGTCGAAGTATTCGCCACCACATTTCCCAAAACTGCCCCAATAACTCATTTGTATCCGCGGCATGTCACCGCGTGCATTTCGCGTTTGAATTTCCCGCCCGCTCACGGTCGAGTGCACGAAACGACGTAAATCACCGCGGAAAGTCGAATAATACCGGCAGTTCCATCCGCGTCGGTTCTCTATAGTTCCGATGGTATTTGTCAAAAATTCTTCGCAGCTTCTCTAATCTGACCGAGACTTATCCTCCCGCTATATTTAGTAATAAGTTTCCCGATAAAAATTTAGATATTCCAACAAGAAGGATAAGGAGTATAAAGGTATAGAAAGCATAAAGGAGGGGACGGTATGATGGGAGAATGAGAGAATGAGAAACGGAGGCGGAAGAAGGGGGGGAAAGAATTGGAGAGTAAGTAGAGATGGAGGAGACACATTTTCTCTGGCGACAGATTCCACCCCTAAAGTATCCGGCTAGATGAAATATTCGGTCTATAGAAAGCCACTCAAGGCAGCTTGGCAGGCAGGGATGGATTAAGATAAGCCCGGTTCCCCGTCCGTACCAAATAGTTTCCGAAGATCGTCTTCAACGGAAAATACTATCCAAACTTATGAACGTTGTTTTATTTCAATAACGAGGTAAACTGAATTTCAATTTGATCGATCAAAAGACCGGAGTACCGACTTTCGTCCTTAACGGGATTACGTAACAAACTTCTCACGCGGACGCCATTTTTCTAATATTATGTAAGTAGTATTTCAAGCGGACTGTTAGGAGGATGACCCTATACGCAGATTTCGTAATGTACGAGCGGAGAATTGAAGTTTGTTAGGCTTTTGTGGGGATATTTTGCAGTTTTGCAATTTAGACTTCTTGGATAGTTGAAATCGTTTTGGGATCTTTGTTTTTATTACATTTATTCAGGTTTTTATGATTTTGTTTTGTTATCTTGGTGGTTTCTTATTTTTCTGTTTTTCTATTTTCCCGTTTTCCTATTTTCCTATTTCCCAATTTTTCAATTTCCCAATTTTCCAACTTACAAATTTCCCAAATTTCCAATTTCCCAATTTTCCAACTTACAAATTTCCCAAATTCCCAATTTCTCAATTTCCCAATTTCCCAATTTCCCAATTTCCCAATTTCCCAATTTCCCAATTTCCCAATTTCCCAATTTCCCAATTTCCCAATTTCCCAATTTCCCAATTTCCCAATTTCCCAATTTCCCAATTTTCCAACTTACAAATTTCCCAATTTCCCAATTTCCCACATTTCCAATTTCTCAATTTCCCAATTTCCCAATTTACCAATTTCCCAATTTACCAACTTACAAATTTCTCAAACTTCCATTTTCCCAAATTCCCAAATTTCCAAATTCCCAATTTCCCAATTTACCAACTTACAAATTTCCCAAACTTCCTTTTTTCCAATTTCCCAAATCCCTAAATTTCCAATTTCCCAATTTTCCAACTTACAAATTTCCCAATTTCCCAATTTCCCAAATTCCCAAATTCCCAAATTCCCAAATTCCCAAATTCCCAAATTCCCAAATTCCCAAATTCCCAAATTCCCAAATTCCCAAATTCCCAAATTCCCAAATTCCCAAATTCCCAATTTCCCAATTTCCCAAATTCCCAAATTCCCAAATTTCCAATTTCCCAATTTACCAACTTGCAAGTTTCCCAATTTCTTAATTTCTCAATTTACCAACTTACAAATTTCCCAAACTTCTATTTTTCCAAATTTTCCCAATTTCCCAATTTCCCAATTTCCCAATTTCCCAATTTCCCAATTTCCCAATTTCCCAATTTCCCAATTTCCCAATTTCCCAATTTCCCAATTTCCCAATTTCCCAATTTCCCAATTTCCCAATTTCCCAATTTCCCAATTTCCCAATTTCCCAATTTCCCAATTTCCCAATTTCCCAATTTCCCAATTTTCCAACTTACAAATTTCCCAATTTCCCAATTTCCCAAATTTCCAGTTTCT